AAAAAGTAGGCATGTAAAAACTCATCAAAAAATGTAAATAACTGCTGAAAAAATCCGAACGAAAAAGTAATAACAAAACAGCAGTTGACATTGAATAACCCTTTACTACTACTATCACTCACCATACTATTATTGAAAAAAATGGTGGAAAACAACAATAAAAGAAGCACAAACTAAACGGATCATAATGTGAAAGAAGCAATCCGTCTGTTAAAATTTCAATACTAAATCCGTTCAACAAATTAAAAACACATGAAAACCTCCAAATCAATACTCTCTTTCACCCTGCGGAAGGTACATAGAGCACCTAGCAGGCTAAAAAACAAAATGATAATGATAATTCCTATCAACAAAACTTCTTTCCTTGTCATAGATCTGACAGACCAACGATAACAACTAAATAAACACGTACACCGATAAAAAAATACTATAAAATTATCACAAGCAAAACTTTACCAAGTCGTTTCTGGCGTAGATGTCAGGTTTCAGGGCGCTCTCTGACCAGTTCAATGGCGTAAATCTGCAACAGAAAAAATTATTTTATTTAACCCATCGAAACCGACCACCTCAACATTTTATCGGACGCATTTTAAAACGACGACAACTTAATAATTACAAGCCAAAACTTCCAAAGCACAAAAAAATAACAGCAAGAAAGCAGATTAATAAAGGTAACGAAAAAATAAGAAATTAAAAAACAATCAACATGAAAACCCAAAAATAGCGGAAACAGGCCAAAAATGGCCCTTTACAACTGTATATTCACACCAGCAGAGGTAGAATGATACCAAATTGAATACGAAACGTATCGGAAACAATATCCAAGTTGTGGATAGTTCCTTATCCTTTCTGTCTCGCTTCTTCACAAAAAATTCACTGACCCTACTGCAAAAGTTCCGACTTTTCTCAAGAAGTTATTTGAATTTCAAAACAGTCATGCCGGTGACCATTAAGTTTAAGCAAACGCAAATTCTTAAACTGCCTTTGATAACAAAAATAATACTGTCATCTAAATCTCGGTTCCTGTTGGAAAATTCTGAATCTTCAAAACCATAAAATACCAACCAGTAAGAACATATATAACTGATGAGCACAAAGAAAGAAATAAAAGTCAGTACTTCTAAACAATCAATGAGAGGAGGATTTCCATTGCTGGAAAAAAAATTTTCGAGCAATAATTTCTGTACGAGAAGTTTTAACAGATGAGAAAAAATAAACAAAAGCTAGAAGAGAAAACCAGGATGGCAATCAAAAAATGACAACTGTAACCCGATGCGGATACTGATCCTTTA